CCCCAAAACCCCAAAACCCCAATTGCCAAAATTTAATGGTATTAGATTAAAAAAGTAATTAGAGTATCACCATAATAAAATGAATAAATTTAATTAGCAAAATGAATCTCAAATGAGCTTCTCTCCAGCTTAAGTATAATTTCCTAGCATCAGCAGATACACTAAATATGACACAAGCCTCTTGCATTCTAACTAAAAATTTCTTAATGTCTAGCAAAAAAATGTAGCCTATAACTAAATAGATCCACAAATAGACTCCTATTCCAAGTTAAGACAGGCTACCTATGATAATCGCAATAAATCTTAAATCCAGTATATGACTTTGAGTGCTGACTTTAATAACTCTAATTTGAACAAAGCTAGTGCCATTATTTAAAATAACCCAAATTTACAATCAATAGATAGCATATCTCAGAGCTACAACAATATCAGTCAAGGGAAAGTATCCAAGTTCTTGAGAAAGTAGGACCATCACAGTCACTTTAGAATGAAAAATCAATTTAGGACAAGCAATGAAGTTGCATCAAATCACTTGAATAATAAGTCTGTGGTTATGATGACATATGGAAACTAGGTTTCTACAGAAAATACAATTGATCAAGCCAATTAGACTCATGATTATAACATGATGTAGGGATATGAGGACGAATTGGATTCAGTTGCACTAAGCAACATTAATAAATCCTTTAACAAAATTTTTACCTAAAAAGAGACTGTATTGCAAGTATCTGAAAAACACATTTAAGATTATGTTCAAAAAAGAGCAGAGCTATTTTTGAATAAAATGACCAAGAGGTTTCTAGTTAAGAAGAATAGATTCGCTCATCTGATGCAACCTCCCAAAGTATAACTCACAGAGAAGCAAGTTCTCAATGAGCTGAGCATGATGAGTAGGAACTCAGGTAAGAATAACCAACAATCAAATTAAAGGCACTCCTCTCTGTTCCAGAATCAGAAAAATTTAAATCATAGTATTGACAGTATTAAGGAAACAAACGTTTAAAGCGAATAGTCTCCTGTTAATAACGATTAAAATGTCTAGACATCTCTCTAAAGATCCATCACTTTCTATAACAGATAAGAGATGGCATAGCAAAGGTATTAGGATTTCAAGCTAAAGGTAAAGGAGGACTTAATGAAGGATAGCGTAGAAAACGGTTACGGAAGTAAAGAGGATTAGGAGGATATAGATAAACCTCTTTTCGAAAATCAAACTTAAGATAAGGTGGAGTTTAAGAGATTTATCAGACTTCAAAAGGAAGGGCTAGTCAATATAAGAGAAATAGTCGCTAAAAAGTAATAAAACCTGATCAAATTATATGATTTAGTGCTGAAAGAAGAACTGTAGAGGAGAAAAATCATCTGCTATGCTTCTTAAAGTTTAGAGTTCCGTTCTTTGAGAACTATGAGAAGGATTTGATCTTCTTGATGGTTGAAAGACTTGAGCCTAAACACTTCAAGCCTAAAGATATAAGTAAGGAGCATTTATTTTAATTAGATAGTTATGAAGAAAGGTGAGGATGGTGATTGTATGTATGTCTTGTTTCAAGGCGAAGTTGGAATATATGTTAACGAGGAGGAAACTTGTGTAGCTGTTCTTAAAGATAGCAAAGTCTTTGGTGAACGAGCCTTGGAAAATGATGACAAAAGAGGGGCAACTATTATAGCACATTATCCAACTTTGTGCTTAGTGCTTTACAAAAAAGACTACAAAGAGATCATTTATGTAAAATTCATACAAGCTGATTATGTTTTAATAGCATATCAAATTGATTTAAAAATCAAAGAGGCAGTAATTTTTATAAGGCCTTCCCTTTTTCAAGGACTGGTCCTACATCAAGTTGTTAGACCTGAATAATTTTCTCAATGAATAGAAATACTAGCCTAACGAGATTATTTATGAGATTGGTTCTGATCCAGAGGTATTTTACATAATAAGAAGCGGGAAAGTTATCCTTGAGACAATCATTGAAATTGAAGACTTCCATAAATACCCAATTGTAATTAATATTCTTATACTCATGAATCAATAGGCAAATAAAGAGTGGGAGATTTTGAAGACGAAAAAGAGACTGCTTTATAGAATGAAAGAGTTGAAGAACGGAGAGATATTTGGGCATGATGAGCTACTACTGGATATAAAGAGGAGATGCAGAGTTAGAGCTACTACAGTTTGCGAGATTATCTACATCAACAAAGAAGAATTCTTCTAAGCATTCCCGAAAAATGAAATTATAAAAATGCGATAAGAGACCAAAGACTTAGACCTGAACTATTTAGTCGAAAAGATCACAAGACAATACGCTAACAAGAAAACTCTGGTAATATCAGTCAAATATCAATAATTATATAGAATTAAGCCATATTGGATGCAACAAAATTCAATGCAGTCAATCTGTATGGAGATAGAATGCATGAAAGCAATAAGGTATATTTAGGTTATAATTAACAATAACTTATAGAGACTTATCAGACTTTATCCTTGGCTAGAGAAGGCAAGGTCTAATAAAACTAAATCAGAGAAAATCTTAAAGGAGTTGGCCAAGGTGAAGTTGCTTTAGACGTTTTAGGAGAAGGTCAGGATAACTGATGAGAACTATGAGGACATGAAGCTGTATGAGAAGAGAATAGCCAGATTTGTGGATAAGGATAGTCTTGATGGAATTTAGTAAGAGGAGGTTATCAGGAACTCTATAAAGAATAGTCAGCAAAATTAAAGACCAAGGGATCTTGAGACGAAGTAAGAAATACAAAAAGAAGAAGGGGAGAGACTGACTGGACTTGGCTAGTATAGTTAGTAGTCTTATTGAATTTAATTTTGATTTCATAATTATCTGCATAATATTGTCAGATGGGGTTTTGGGGTTTTGGGGTTTTGGGG